GCCAATCAGCAGTGAGCACTGGGGTTGGGTGTTGCCCCAGGAGACCGCCTCCAGGGCTTGCTTCTTCCTTGGTCCCTGCCTGGTTGGGTGGGTGGGTGAGGCGCAGCCATTTGCCAGTTCGCCTTCAGTTATGTTTTGGGGGACTGTGGTTCCTTACCTACACTTGTTGTGACATTCACTTTCAAAGCGCGTGGCTCCTCTCTGTCAAAGCCGCTAAATTACGACTTTTTTTATAAGGGAGAAAAGTGAAGTTTCTCAAGCCCCTAAATAGCAGAGAGGAGCATTAAATATGCACCTTGGCTTCCGGCCACCCCGCCTTAGTCTAATTCCTGTTGCTTTACTTTCAACAGAGAATAGAAATTCCGCTTACATGATGTGTGTTCATACCACAATTCCAAATATTTTCACCTAACCAAAATAGGTAAAAGAAAAACATGTTGTAGACCATGAAAGGTGTCAATGAGAAACTGATATTGGTTGAACTCCTTTCAGTCGTTACCATTCAATAATTTCATACAGCATGCAGACAGGATCTTTAAGAATTGCCTAGCACATGTCAGGAACAGTTATTTCTAAGCCTTATATGGAGAATGTAGCACAAATACATCTTGGTTCAAATGGAATAGGGCCAAGAAATGAAATTTGTAGTGATTATCATCTGTAAGGTCTTTAGTTGTGTTAAAACCTTGATTTTTTTTTTTTTTTTGCTCTCCCAAGTAGCCACACTTTATTTGATAAAGCAAGGTTCTACTAAATACTTACTGTGCTTCAAGTGACATACAAATGTATATTGATCACTTTCTACCCCCACTGAAAGGTATAATCGAGTAAAGTATCAAAATCAAACCAACAGTCTAAATTACAAAAACAGGTATAATTACTGAGAAATGCTACATAGATCTACAGACTTAAAATGAAGTCAGTCAAACTGCTTTTAAAATCATGTGAATACATAGATCAACTCCAGAAACAAAATCAAACATGAACTCTAGAGTCTGAGCTAGCAGAACTGCTCCTCCACCTGTCCCAGGCAAAGCTTCTTGTCTGGAGTTGATCTCTGTATTTACATGATTTTAAAAGCAGTTTGACTAACTTCTTTGCCAAAAGAAGTTTTCCTAATAGTTTGCCTACTGGAATCTTCACTAGCAGAAGGATCTGTTTGAATCTACACAACAGCAATGGGGCATTTCCTCATTATTCTGCCACTTCTCTTGCAATGTGCTGTCTTCTCTAAAATCAAATCCTTTATTATCAAAATGATATTTTAGCAGTTTGATAGCATTTTATTATTTTAATGACAGAAACTCCTAAAGGCAAACAGGATATATATCCACCAAAACCATACTGCCACTCTGCTTGATGGTCTGTAAAAGATTTAATTATGCTTGTCAGCTCTTTAGCATGGTTCAGTTGGTTTTAAATTGCTCTGACCTAATTGAAGTTATTGTGTGCAAATAATGGTCACTCCGAGTGTTCACAGGCTAGTGGCTGCTCTTCATGAAGATAGAACAGCTCATGTGAGGAGTTCTCAACAAATAGCCATTGGGCAACATCTTTCTGAAGGAAGATGCAAGTTCATCAATAAGAGCGATGTCTTGGGACACACAGGCTATTGCTGAATGACCTCCATATGCATTATCTTAGCTACAGATAGCAACAGATGTTACTATGACAAGAACTGGACAGCATCTACCAGAAGCACAGGTCTTCCTATCTATAGATCTTTTAGATTTTAGGAGACAGGATATACAGTTACATTTACAATGCACAACCACTGATAGCTGGTGCTACTACCAAACACTACTAAGATTCTAAACTTAAAGTCAAAATGACCTAAGTTCTACTTTTAAGTATGTGAGAGCTAATCTTTGTTGTCCACCTTTCTACATTTCAAGTCAACTAAAACCCAAGCTGCTGTCCATTCCTGTGAGGGACTTTTGTCATCAGATCATTTGAATCAGGAAGGACCACCCTAAATCTGGGTTGTACCTTCTGTGACAGTCAAGAAAAATACATGACATGAGAGAAGAAAATACTGGTTTTTGACTGCTTGCCCTCACATTCCCTGAAAGTTCATCTGTTACTACTTCCTGCCTTCACAGGGTATTAGAACCACTTACTTTTAATTCCAAGGAGACTGAAGACAAGTGGCTCTCTGTGAATCCTCTGGGATTTCTGTGGCAGATAGGGACTCCTAAGACATCTAAAATCTGGGACTGAACAATTCAGGCTTTCCAGTGTGAGACAGCCATTTTTTTGGACTATCTGAACCACATCCTGTAAGCCAATCTAATAAATCCCCATGGAATATTTACAATCACTCCTTTGGTCTGTTCTGTGAGATACTAATATAAATACAAGTTGAGGCTGTGCTGGCAAACAAAAACTTTGTGTTTCTATGACTTATCCAAAGAATCAAACATAAAGACACTCCAAGAACCAGGAGTCTTCGAAGTGTCAAAGTCATCATCAATGCCACGGCCAGGCTGCCAGCTCAACTTTAGTTCATGAGTTTACTGGTGGTATTATAGGAGGTTTTGTTTGTTGCTACTTCATTAACTGATATGCACAACTCCTATTTCTGTTAGATTGTGGAGCTCACACACAAAGCTGCAGCAGAAGCAGGAGGCACAAAGGGGAAATGGAGGTGATGATGCTTGGCTGGTTGGAAAGGAATGAGCTCCAAGTAAGACTTAGTGACTAAAATTGCCTCAAATGGGTTAGCATATTTGTTATAAAATGTCCAGCACAACACCATTCTCTTAAAGGGGAGATTGTTTTTGGAATTTTCAAGAAGTGAAAAATACCAAGGACTTGGGACTGAAATTTGATGTTTAAACACAATTTATTTTCTATGTATCTGTGTGTGCCTGCATGTATGTGTGTGCACTGTGTGGTTGCCTAGTCTCCACAGAAGGCAGATTTACCTCAAACTGGAGTCGCAGATCCTGAGCTGCTATGTGTTACCTGGAATGCTGCTTGGGTTCTCTGTAAGAGCAGCAGGTACTCTTAACTACTGAGCCATCTGTCCAGCTCCTACAGCTGAACTCTCGATGCTCTAAAGATATTATAGTTATTCGGATGAAAATGTGGGTTGAGTTGGACATGATGCCTCGAGTGCATTGGAATTACAATTTCAGTGAGGTTTCAACTGTAACCAGTCCCTAAGAGTGTCTCTCTCATGGAGGCTGAGCAGAACAGGAAATTGAAAAAATTATTTTTGCTGGAGGATTTTGATTGTTTGCTTTCCTTGTATAATTAATAACAAGAAAAAAAACTCGATTTTGGATTCCAACTCCAAATGAACTTATTTCCATTTTTATAGTGATTATGAAATCCAACAACAAATCAAAAATTCATAAAACAAGTGTGCATTTTTACAGATTACTATAATGTGATCATCCAGGTTCAAGGAACAGAGGGCTGTCCCTCCTTGTCACACTCCCTGCCTCTCAAAGGTAACTACCAACTCAAATAGGAAACAAAAGAATGCTTATGCTGCCTAAGTGTGTGTTCCTAAACACAACAGCTCACTTTTAACTCCGTATGGAATTTATATATGTAAAAGTATACACTATTATTTTTTATGTAGGCAATAAATTCCAAAGTATGATATCTATGGAGGTCATACATGCATAGCCGTGTTCTGTTTTCATAACCAGCTAAGTGCCTGTAGGACCTGGCTTACTGATGGTTTGGCTGAGTTGAAATGTTTCAGCCATGAGGCTGAACCATAACAGACATAATTTCTCCATTCAGTGACTGGAACTAAGTTCCATGCTCACATTTATAGCCAATAGTTCCCTTGATGAATCTCTTTTTATTGTTCTTGGAGGTGGCCAGTCTCCTAACTGCTTGTCTTCATTCTTAGAAAGCATCCAGTTTGGGGCCATAAACTGTGGAAACAAATTGTAGTTGCTAAAGTAACTGTCTGTGTGGCTCTCTTAGATAGCCATGATAAGGGCCATTTTTTATTACACTAATGAGATTAGGCCAAATGAGTGGCTCCCTGAGTCTCACATCACCTGGTTTGTAGACATTCCTGCCTAGATTTGTAACCACACCAAATATGGCAGCATATCTACATAGAATATGGATATTCAAAGGATGTTTTTGTCTTTTGTTGTTATTGTTGTCATTAAGGTGACCATATGTAGCAGGAATGTTTCTGGCCTGCCACGCTTCCACCGCCCTTGAGTCCTGAATGAACACTCAGAGACTTATATTAATTATAAAACTATTGGTCAGTGACTAGGGCTTCTTATTGGCTAGCTCTGTCTTAACAAGTAACCAATTTCTATTTATGTATTTCCACATGGTCATGACTTACCGGAGAATGCTTTGCACATCCTCTCTCCCTGGGCTCTACATGGTGACTCCTGTCTACTACACTTCCCAGAATTCTACTGCTCTGGTAACCCCACCTATCCTTCCTCTCTGGCCACTAGCCACACAGTGTTTTACTCTTCATCCAGTAAGAGGAACACAATACACAGAAGGACAACCCTATCAGCCATATATTTAATTTCAAAACTAGAAATAGTTTAACAGAAAAATGTTGCAATAAAATAAAATTTAACACTATTTTGTTAACTAGATGATATTACATATGCAGATTGTAGAATAGGTTCATACAAAGGTTTTTTAAAATGAATACACGAATATAACACTAAAGTCAGAAAAAACTAAATAGGCAAATAAATAAAAGTAAATGAAAATAAAAAACATATTGTGTGAATGTTAAAACACAACATAAGGGAACCTGAGAGATGGCTCAGTAGTTAAAAACATTGGCTATTCTTGCAGAAGGCCCAGATTTGGTTTCCAGCACTCACAAGCAGGCAGCTCTAGCCACTTTTAATTACAATTTCACAGGATCTGATGCTTTCTTCTGGTCTTGGCAGTTAGCTGCACACATTCAGATACATATAAAATTAAAATAAATAAACAAACATATAATAATTTGTTGATATTCGTTGTAATTATAAAAATTACAAAAAAAACGTGCCATTTGACAGCTTGGGTAGAAGGGTTTTTTTAATTAGGGGAATCAAGGAGGAGGGGGAGGGGGAGACTGGCCTCTGGAGATAGGAGCAGCAAAACAGAAAAGAGAGGCAGGGGACACAAAGAGACAGGCAGAGGAGGAGGAAGAGAAGGAGGAGGAGGGAGAAAGGAGGGAGGGAAAGAGGAGAGAAGGGAAGAGAGAGGGAGAGAGAGAGAAATGGGAGGTGGGCAGGTCCCTCTCAAAAGGGAATGTAGTGAATGTGCACTGGAAAGGAGGGATGGAGGGAGAGAGAGAGAAACAGAGAGACACACAGAGAGAGATGGGAGGTGGGCAGGGCCCTTTTAAAAGAGAACACAGTGAATGTGCACAGGTGGTGCTCTTAGTGGCTGCAGCTGAGGACGGATCCTGTCAGAACCCCAAGGGCAGGCCAATACAGATGCCTGAATACTAACAATATCTATTCAAATACTCTAATGAGCATTTGGACTAGACATTTTAAAAATTCTAAACATTTTTCAATTGTTTGTCCAAATACTCTAATAGTCTTTCATTTAAAGACCATCCCATATTTCTTTATGTTACTTCATTTTCATGATTAATTTTTTTATTTTTTAAAAATTTTTATTTATGTATATTGGTGTTTTGCCTGTATAAACGTCTATATGAGGGTACCAGGTACCCTGGAACTGTAGTTACAGACAGTTGTGACCTGCTGTGTGTGTGCTGGGAATTGAACCCCAGTCCTCTGGAAGAATAGCCAGTGCTCTTAACTGCTGAGCTATCTCTCCAGCCCCTTCATGACTAATTTTTAAAGGTTGACAAATTAAAGTTATTCTTCTTTACAGATACGACTTTTTCCTTGTTTTTACTTGTTTATAATTCTGTGCCTTTATGTAATAACCTTCAATCATTTCCAACCCCTGTTTTCCTCCTTCACCCTCTTCCCCTCTCCCAATGGCACCCTTCTTCTCAATAAGTCCCTTTATGTTTTTATGTCTTCTTTTTGTGTGTTGCTTGGTGTGTTGAAGTCCAGTGATTTGGCCAAGTATTCATGGGGAGTTAACCAGTGAAGTTGCACCAGGGCTACTGAAGAAAGTGAGATTCCTTCCATAAACAAGAATTAACTGCCTATGGTTCCTCTGGTAGGAGTGGGCCTCACACTGTCCCCTTCCCCCTCAATATATGATTCAATGGCCCAATCTTGTACACATTCTGTGCAGAAAACAAAAGCCACAGTGTATTCATGAGTGCAATAGCCATGTCATGTCCAGAAGGGTAGATGTACAACAATGCAGGAATTTTATATTTTTGATGCTTCCGATCTATGAAACTGAGTTTGTTTTATTCTTTTAATCCCAGGAATAAAGCTGCAAGTCAGGTACATGATCCTTCTCACTGTTGGCCGACTAACTACATCACTGGTGTGGCTGCTGATAGTCTTTTGCCACAGTTAACAGTTTTCTTCCTATGATTTTATGCTTCCAATCTGCCTTTGCTGCTACAAATGGTAATTTACCAGACTAGCCATTAAAATGAACAAAATATATATTTCTTATAGTTCTTCAAAGTCCAAGGTCAAGAGGTTGTTGAACAGATTGATTCTGTTCTTCACAGGACAGACAGAAGAGCAGGAAAGACAAATACCTCTCGAAAGCCTCAGATCCCAATACCATTTCATTGAGGAGACCACATGACCAAGGCAACTGCTAAAAGAGAAAGCCTAATTGGGGCCTTGCTTACAGTTTCAGAGGATTAGTTCATTATTATAATGGCAGGGAGCATACAGGCATGGCACTGGAGTAGTAGCTGAGAGCTTTACATCCTGATCCACAAATAGAGAGTTTGAGAAAGAGGGCCTGCAAGGGCTTTAAAACCTCAGAGCCCAGCCCTGCACCAGTGACATACCTTCTCCCAAAGGCCCCACCTCCTAATCCTTTAATGAGCCTCTGGTGGCTGTTCTCATTCAAATCACCACATTCTACTTCCCCACATCAGTAAGCTTGTAGCCATGTCATAATGCAAAAGCCAACTTCAAAAGCCCCATAGTTTTTCACAGTCTCAAGACTGTGAAATGTCAAAAGTCTCTTCTGAGACTCATCATAATCTTTTAATTGTAATATCCTTCCCCCATAAAAGCAAAAATCAAAAAGCAGATCACATACTTCCTACAACATACAATGGCACAAAACATACGTTACCATCGCAAAGGAGAAGAAAGGGAGTAAGGAAATGCTGAACCAAAGAAGACTGAAGCCTGGCAGCACCAACTCCACATCCGCATTTCCATGTGTGATGTCCAAGTGTTGTTGACACCCCCAACTTCTTTCAGCTTTGTTGATTGAACCATGCTTCTCTCTCTTGGGCTCCACACCTGGTCTGCCTCTCTCCTCGGCAGTTACCCCACAGTTCAGCATCTTCAACATCTTGGTGTCTCTAATGCAATCCAGGCTTTACCTTCACAGCTTCATGAGATGGCCTCATGCCCTCCATGCATGCAGTGACTCCCTGCCACATGCCTGGCTCAGTGCCTTTCTTTAACCACAGAGGAAGACCCCTTTACTTCTCCTGCATTCTTCCTTTCTTTTTCTATTTCTTTGTATTACTATTGAAAATTGTACATACAGCAAATCGTGACCACTCCTCCCTCCACTCCTCCCAGCTCCTCCCCCTACCTCCTTTCTCCTCTAGATTCACCCCCCCCTTCATTTCCCTTCAGAAAAAGAGCAAGCCTCCAAGAGACAACACCCAAACATGACAAAACAAGGTGCAATAGGACCAGGAAGAAGCCCTTATATCAAGGCTGGAAAATGCAACCCAATAGGAGGAAAAGAATCTCAAGAGCAGTCGAGTCAGACACACCTAGTCCCACTGTTAAGGTTCCCACAAGAACACCATGCTAAGAGCCATAGCATGTATTTGTCTTATACAGCAGGAACCATTTGGCCAAATCTGTTAAGTTCTTTTCTGTTTGCTGGGGCTGGAACTTAAATAATGTTGGTAACAGCTTTCTGTTGTGGTTTAGGCCTAGGAAACCCCTCAGACCTATTCCTTTTATAGGTTGTCAAACCTCCAACAAGGCCTCATCTCCTAACCCTTCCAATCTTTCTCAAACAGTACACCAACTGAGAAATAAGCATGTAAATATATATGTCTATAGGGGCTATTATCATTCAAACCACAGTGGCCGTATTTTTGTTGTTGTTTGAAAATGTATATCTTTAGTTAATCATTGCAAAATACTTTGTATTTTGTAGATGTTATCCCAGATCCTTTTAAATATTAACTTTATCTGGGCAACTCCGCAATCCAGGTATTCTTATTTCACAAAGGAAGAAATGGAGGCACAGAAAGCTAGTTAACTGTCTAAACTCATTGGACTGGATTCCTGGTTCTAGAGGCACTTCTGACTCTGTAAGTGTTCACATCTGATGAGAAAAAACCACAAATATGCTCTTGTGCCATCTTAGAGAAACTTGTTTCATTAAACATGCTTCATATATTTGCTGTCCCGAGCTACCATACAACAAAAGGTACTTGAAGGTCAAAAGCAAAGAAAAGCAGATAATTTAAATATCTGTGAAATCTCAATCAATTCTGGACTACCACTCATTCACCTGTTTAGAGAGTTATCTTTCATCTTCTCCTATAGACATTATCAAGGTCCTGTGACAAATATGTGAGGCCTCAGTGCCTTTATCTTGCCAGTACCCTCTATGTTCTTTTGGCATCACCTTTAACTGACATCTACAAAAGCAATCTGATGCTGCTGGCATGAAACTCACTGTAATGCATATTTATTTATCTTTATCTTTGCAAAGAAGTTTTCTATCTCATTACAACCTTTGATGCTAATATAGACTAGGGCCAGATGGGGGAGCTCTCAGAAGGATTCTCAATTGGATTTTGACCAACCCAAGCCAGGAGGCAGTTTCCATGAGAAAGGGAAGCCAAAACTACTGGAAGAAAACTCTAAAAGACCAGAGGTGGATGGTGGTGGAGCACTGGAAGGGCGACTGAGCCTCCACTAACGTGGTTCTGCTCATTTTCTGTAACACTGGAATGAGGAATGAGAGTGTGAAGAACACAAAGCTGACTGTAAATCACCATGGAAAGAAAACATACACTAATGCTATTCTTACTGAGTAACAAATGCTAGATCCATAAATTTAGTGAGAATATGTTTAAGCTATGATTTTTTTCCCTGAAATTCATAACTGAGGCTAAAAATAACTTAAAAGCACTCCAGGCAATATTTCTGTTGCCAGGGAAACAACAAGAGAATGCTAACCAGAATCATCCAAATATACCAATATTAATAGCCAACTGATCACATCCTAGGTTAATTTATATTTTATTTCAGGAGAAATAACAATTATTAATTTGTGTAACTGTCTAAGAATTCTGGTCAAATTTCCAGGTGGAATATACCTGTCAGATGACCTAATGTAGTCCCGTTCTTTGATCTTCAACACATGGAATATAGAAAGGTTTCCCTGTTTCTAACCTCTTAAATATGTGATTAGCTAAACTGTGACACAACAAATTCTTAATCACAGGAGGATTTGGTCCTCTGAAGTACACAGGTATTTAGCCAAAGGCTATTTATAGTCCACACTTGGCACAAATGCATGCTATGATCCCAAGGTGTGGTAAGCAGAGGACAGTAGGTCACCTAGACAATGTGAATGGCTGTGATCCCAAAGTGTGGTAAGGGGAGGACAGTGGTGACCTAGACAATGTGAATGGTTGTGATCTCAAGGTGTGGTAAGCAGAGGACAGTGGTGACCTAGACAATGTGAATGACTGTAAGGAACATGTAAATGGACAGGCAGAAGCCTGGCTGGAAGGAGAATAGGAAAGTGAACACAGACTCGTAATTCAAATACTAGAGATAAGAATGAATGGGAGTGTGCATGTGTGGCAGAGTGTGATAAGCAAGGTATTTAAGGACCAGCTCAGACCTGAGAAGCAGAGTCCACAATAACTGTGTGAGCTCTCCTCCACCTGAGAAGCCAGGCCACTAAGCTGAGAGCCGCCTGCCTGATCCAGACATCAAGACCAACACCAGAGACCTCAGTGGACTTGTTGCTTGAATTGAGAGGAACCTCGAGACATCGCGAGCCGTGGCCCTGAGCCAAACAGATACCCCGATTGTGAGCCTAGGTGCTATGGTCCCTAGGGCTTTGCTTCTGCTCATGTGTATATAAGTGTGAAGTAAAAGATATACTCAAAACCCCTTACTGAGTCTGTCATCATTCCTCCCAGGTTAAAGCCCGGTAAGTGCTCGTGACATTGGCTGTGATCCCAAGGCATGGTAAAGCGAGGACAGTGGGTGACCTAGACAACTGTGAATGACTGTGGTCACAGGTGTGGTAAGAGGAGAATATTGATGACCTAGACAATGTGAATGGCTGTGGTCACAGGTGTGATAAGCAGACAATGTGAATGTTTCAGTGCTCACTTGTGAACAATAGCCTCAGAATGGCCCATGGAAAAGGAATCCAAGAGCTCCCACTTCCAGATATATAGCTTGCAAATTACTTGCCTTAAAAAAAAAAGATTCTTCCTACCGACTTCATAATTTCTTCTTAAAGACTGCAGAAAACATATCAGGACACTTTCTTTACAAGTTAGAAAACCCTGAATTCAAACCTGATATCATTAACAACAAGTAGGTCTTTAATGTTTTCTGTTACTATTAAATTCATAACACTATTGGATAGATCTGTTTCAGTTAAGCCTATACCCAGATTCCCAAATGAAGATAGTCTGATGCTTCTGTGTAAATACCAACTAAGTTCCCCTTTTTATTGGCATTACGAACACATAAACCGTTCTTTACTGTTAAAAAAGTTCCTAGTAACTTTGCTTCTTCTGGGCAGAGTAAAAGGAAAAATTAACTCCTCAGAAATATTCTACAAGGTATCTTTTATTGGCCTCTTATCTGGTCACATGACCCTCTCTTGAGCCAGAGAATTAAATGAATGGAACCCAATTCGATGAGATATTACCCTTAGGAGAAATGCATGCTGGGCTTGTAAACAAACAAATTGAAAAATAAAACCAATTCCGTTGTAATATATATAAAATATCTAGAAAAGTATTTTGCATAGAGCATGTAGTAAATATACATTTGTAAGAAAACTATCATATATTTTAAACCTTTAAATATGCATAGATGTTGGCTTTCAGTCGTGCATTCTAGAACCACACATAAAAAATGAGAGTATATAAGGCAAATTCAAGTTAGATTTTTGACTTTGATATAACTCAAAGTTTAGATAGACTCTATTCTGTGTTTCAGAGAAAGCCAATGACTTTCCCCCTGGGGGCTTGGATGCAACCTAAATTTATAATAATCTTGTGATCAAATATTTCTGTGTGGATTATCATAACAATAACAGATTATTGTTTGGTCTTTTATGCTGGTAATTGATCTAGAAACCCAACACAAACATTTATTTCCAAGTTCTATAATCAAACAAAATAGAATAGTTTTTACCCAAACACTTCCCACCAAAAATTAAGTAATAATTATTTTGTGAGTTTTAATCTTAATTAGATATATCTTTCATCAATAATTAATGGAAAGAAAGATGTGGAGAATCTCTAAGGAGATGGGAAGGAAAACTTGTAACGAGAATATATTTATGAAAACAAATATATTTTCAGTAAAGCAGAAGTTAGTAAATTCAGAAATGAATAATAGAAACCGAGTACACTAGCATCTATAGCTCTTTGAATATGTTTATTGTTTATGACAGAGGTATCGCATCATAATGTGTATGACTTTATAAACAATTGTGACCCTGTGCCTTGGTTTGCTTTTATAAAGTGTCTTTTCCTGAGAGCGCATCTTTGGGGTAAAGCTAAATCGAATTTACTAGATGGTGATAAGGCAAAATTCATTTACTAGTTTCCTTTCAGAAGTTCACTTGTAGACTTTTCTGTATTTACTTCAAACTCTCTTCCACTTTAAATGTCTAAGTCTTCAGTATATTTTTTTTTCTCATGAAGTTTCACAAAAATCCAGGGTAAAGCTTGCATTACAATGGTGTTTAAGGCTTAACAGTGATATACAATGTCCCCAGTAAGAACTTGTGCGGTTTCTTTCCCTTTCATTTTTCAGCCACAGTGAACCTTCATAGTTATGGGCAAGCAGCAGAGTTTCCTCTCACTGTATCTGAGTTCTCCTCAGCCTCCCTGTTCTGGAACTGGAAAGATGCCTGGAATTAGAGGATCTGGGCTTGAAATATGTTCTTGTTATTTTCTTTCATTTTGAAGTCATTATTATAGATTCAGTAAGAGCCTGTATATTTCTACCAGAGAAGAGCAGATCATAGTTTACTTAGAAAGTAGTGAAGGCATACAAACAAGCTCATAACCATCTTAAACAAAATAAGCCTGATGCAAAAGCATAAATATTACATGTTTCCTCTCACTTAGAGAATGCTTTTTATTTGTGATGATGGGGAAGGGAGAAGGAGAAGCATATGGAGTCATAAACACAGTGAAAACACAAAATATACTGGAAATACTGTCTTTATGAAGGCTCCAATTAAATATGACAAATTATTTTAATTTGTTTTCCAATTTTGGAGAATTTCACACTAGAGTAACTGTGTTTCCATCATTTCCACCTCATCTTCTCCCTTCCAACTCCTCCTGTGTCCCCAGTCACTCTCAAAGTCATGATTTCTGTATTTATTGTTATTACACATGTGTGCCTATGCCTGTATAAATACAACCTTCTGAGTCCATTTAGTGTTGTTCTTCTCATGTGTATGTGTTTAGGGCTGGCTGAGCACTTAGGATTGCATAGCATAGCAGAGGATTCATCATGGAGAAGACTGATTTCCCCCTCTCTAGAAGCCATTAGGAGTGGAGCCTTATGAGGTTTCAGCATCCACAGAGGAATGTCAACTGGTGTTGACACAGATCTTGTGTGGGTGGTCATATTATTAAGATTTCATGAGTGTAGCTCCCTGTTATATATAGAAGACACTGTCTTATAGCAGGTGTCGTGGTCCTCTGGCTCCTAGTCTTTCTGCCCCCCTCCCTCTCCTTAAATGTCCCATGAGCCTTAAGTGAAGGGATCGAATTACAATGAACCTTTTAAAGTTGGGCACCCCACAGTCAATGATTCTCTGCATTTTGACCAGTTGAGGCTTTATGTAATGGTCTCTGACTACAACAAAAAGAAGCACTTTTGATAAAGGATGAAAGCTTCACTTACCAGTGACTAAAAGGATGAGTATTTGGAATTCAGTAAGTCATTACACTGATTTGGGAAGGTAGTGGCTATAAGTGTTCCTCTGGGATCCATGACCTCACTGGCCACAGAGAGACAGCTAGAATAACAAAATCTGGCATGATTTCTCTCTTGTTGAGTAGGCCTTAATTCCAATTAGACTGCTTCTGCTTAGTCCTAATACCTAAGTGCCACTATTGCACCCTTGTGAATACCTTGTCATGCTGGTCATTGTTGTGGTTCATGGGCTTTGCAGATGGGTAGTAGGATTGTTGACAGCTTTTCTCCATTGGAAGCTTGCATAACATCTTTGGATACTATAGGAGCTAGTCCTCAAGGAGTAGGCTTCCATGTCACTTCCAATTCAAATCTTTCAAGTCCTGTGTCCAAAGTGCATGATGTCTTCAACAATCAGGTCTTACCTTTAAGCTCTGAATGCAACCAAGGGCAATGGCAATATTTTATATTGCTTTAGGGATCGCTTGGACTACTTTGAGGTTTTCCATAACTGATACTAGGGTTTTTGTTACACTGCCACCCGTGTGGGGGACAGCATGCATAACGCCATTTGACAAATTTCACTTAAAGTATATAGATATAGATAGATATAGATATGTAATACACATATTATCTATGTGCCTATATTTTTAAGTAAACAAAGTAATATGATTCCCTATGGCTTTTTCAAACATTCTTAGTGTACTTTACCCATTATCCTTCCCTCCCCTCTGTATTCCCCTCGTTTCTGTGAACCAGATAGAGCCCCCACCCAAGTTTTCTATTTTCCACTCTATAATGCCTGTACCCTATCATCTTCTTTTCTAGACTTAACTGCATGGGAAACAATGACATGGAAATAAGACAGTACTCATGTATTAGATTCTCAAAGAATATATTAAAAGAAGAAAAAGCAAAAAATTTATTTGACGCCACCCCAAAAAGAAAATTCTAAGGGGAAGGAAATGGATGTGCAAATACTTTTCATGGTCTTTTATATATTACCAATCATTTAATATGTTGTTTTGGAGTCTTTTTGTGGAAATTAGCATCTGACTTGTATTTCGGAGTTCATTTACCATGCTATTTTATTAGGCACTCAAATTAAGAAACTATAAGATGACAAATTTGATAATTTGTCATAAAACAAAGATGTGTGAATGAAGTTTTTTACAAAAAAAAAAACTAAATTTGACATCTGGAAATAAAATCCTAAATATTGTGTGGTACTGTTTTCTCCTAGTAAAGCCGGGGGGGATTGAAGCTTCTTGGGCTGATGACGACAGTTTTAGTGAATGGAAGTGTTTCTTAGCCCCAAAGAATCTAGGCTGCTGAGTAGCTGCCGTGTAGGGAATTATTTATAATAGCATTTACTGGTAAGAGAAAGGGGCGAAACCTTAGACAGGCACTTAGATGTGACTAAGGGAGGTTTATTTCCGATTCCAAAGCACTGGAGTAGAAGTCACACCGTGACTCAGAGCATTGTGATGGGCCAGCTGTCCACAGGCTTGACTCCAGTGTGTGCTCAGACACCACCATGCCAGACAGAAGACTCACCGGAACATCATTTCAGTGAGTTCACTCGCTTGACACAGTTTCCACATCAGTTAGAGAGGACCAGGTGGTCACTTTGTCTTCAGCACTTCAACAGCAGTTTGTACCAGGTCCCTAATGGCACATGTGTTCAACCATCATGTCTTCATTGTCTTCGGAGTATTTGGTGAAAGGCAGACTATTTTGATAAGATACACCGCATGAAAATGAAAAGTCACACTTACAATTATGCCACGTCACAGATAATCCTTGCGTCAGCCAAGGCGATTGCTGTTTGTGTTTTGTTACTTTGAAATTTAGCAGAATTAAGAAATAATCTGAAATGAGCAGACCCTAAATCTGGTGATGTAAACATATATTACAAAATGATTTTTGTATTAGTGCATTTTTTTTCACTTAAATGCTCAACTGTCAGCAAGGAAAAGTATTATTTC